CTGCCTCCCCCCACCCTGCCAGAAAGGAGAAGCAACGTCAGCTTCACCACTGCTGAGCACGGTGGAGGAAGCGAACACATCCGCCCTGGGAGGTGGAATCTGCACACTCATTTCTCACAAGAGCACTAGAGGCAAAACCAGATCTCCAGGGGGGCAGCCGAAGGGCCACGAGAGCAGGCACTGGTCAGCCCCCGTGTGTGGGCCCTAGCATAGCAGGCTGGAGCCGTTCAGGCAATGGCACAGCTGACAGGAGAGGTAAAAGGGGCTTTACCATCACCTTTGCACCCTCTGGATTCTGGGCTCCAGTGGGGACCTAAATCCATCTTCTGGTCCAAGTTAGAGCAGCCCCCCGCAGTCTCCCCTGCCACAAAAGGCTGCACAGCAACCAAGAATCCCTGCAGCACTCAACCCTAGGGGAACACAGTTTGACCAGCCTTCCCCCCATGCCCTCTGATGCTGGGGCCTGTGAGTGGGGGCAGCACAGTGCCACTGATGTCAGCCCCAGGCTGCTCCTGCCCCGGGGGATTGTTCCCCCAGCCCTGATGGTACCTGGGAGCTAACGGAGCCGGCGTGGCGCTGGCTACGACCCTTGCGGAGATTCACGTTAGTCACCTCAGTCCAGCTGGGGACCCCCGAAGAAAGGGAGGCTTGTGAGCCTCCACACCGCTCCCTTTCTGGGGGCAGCTGCCTCCACATTAGGCGGGTCGCTCACGCGCCAAGGGTGGGAACATTGGCCCAAGAGCTTCTGGGCCTGAGCTCGGTGAAATAGGGAGACTGCCAGCCGGCTCGCCCAGGCCTGGAGATTGCCCTGCCGTGTTGATCCCCTGGAATCCAAGGCGCTGCATTGCCGTAACCGGCCAGAGACCCAGCTTCGCGTGGGCAAAGCGCCTCAGTCCTCACGACGGTGCTGCCAAGCCCTAGAGCAAGAGGCCCCGTCTCACTGAGGCGTCATCCCTGGGACCTGCTGGCAGAGTCCTGCAGACAGCAGCTGAGAGCCCAGCTCATGTGGCTCACAGGTGGGAGCTGCTTGCCCCTTGCGTTTTTCCATTCCTCAAACCACCGGCGGAGCCACCACTCACCCACCTCCTGTCCAGCTCCCCACAGCCACACAACTCCCATGGGCAGGGCTGCGAGAGCCATTGCCTCGCCGGGGCCGGGCGCCATCCAACCAAACTACTCCTACATCTCCAGCACCAACGCCCCGGGGCACTGCGGGCCGGGCGCCATCCAACCAAACTACTCCTACATCTCCAGCACCAACGCCCCTGGGCACTGCATGCTGCAACCCCTCCTCCCGCTGGCCCCGCACGGGGCCATTCAGAGTCAGCAGCCTGGCCACGGGGTCAGTGCCAGCAGGAGGCTGAGAGGCCGGGGAGAGGAGTGGTGCGCACACCCGAGAGCGGAGCCCAGCCTCAGCGTGCGGTTTCCTGCCTGTAAACCTCCACCACAGGGAGGCCTCAAGCAGCGAGCAAAGTGCAGTGTCACTCCAGGCTCACGGCCTGGCCAGGGGCCAACAAGCTCCCAGATTCTGTGCAGGTAGCGCTGCTCACAGGGCCTGAGCCTGCACCTCGCGAGCCGCCAGGAGCTTGGCCTGACTCCGCGGATTTAGGATTCAGCCCCTCCTGGGTGAAATCGAAAGTGATGATTCCCAGTGGCACTCAGCTGCCAATAACCCTGTAACCCTGGGCAGAGGCTAAGGGACAGAATTCTGGTCCCCTCGGCAGGCCTGCAGCCAGGCCCTGACCCCACCCTCTGCCAGCCAGCCCATTGTAAGCAAGGAGCAGTGGCAGCCTGCCCCAGGCACCGGAACCTCTTTGGAGATCTCCCGAGTGGCTCTTAGATCTTCTCAGTTCAGCTGTCCATTGTTCCTTCCCCATGAGAGCTGCACCCATCACAGGCCCACGGCTCAGCAGCTGCACACAGACATCGCCCCTGCGCGGCTGCTATTCCCATCCCGACGACCCAGGAATACAGGGATGGGGAAAATACAGGGCTCCCAAAGAAACCGGGGCCAGCTAGCACCAGCGACCAGTGCTTGGGTAGCAACACAGTGGCGGCAGTGTGCATCTATTTATAGCCTAACGCCATCTCGCGTCTATCCTGGCGCTCTGGGTTTGTGTCATTAGAGAACTGTTCACAGGCAGAAGAATAACTGAAATTGCTCTAGGGTTTCCCCAGCCCAGGACTTACCTTGCTCACAGTTATTTCTGTCTAAACTATAAGTAGCCACAAGCTTTTCTCCAGGTCCTTGTCCCCCCTGCAGGGAGAGTGTCTCCTGGCTGTGGCGCAATCCGACGCACGTGGAAATGGAGCTGTTCGTTCTCTACCTGCCGCGCGGCCCAGGCTCCCATGCTGAGAGCAGAGCACAGAGGTGCACCAGCGGAAGAGTTAACCAGAGCCAAGCAACTGAAGTGATACCTTGTCCCAAGGTACCACCCGGCTATGTGGCTCCTCAGCACTTCTGGGCTTCCCTCCACAGGGCCGGACCCACAAAGGTCTGAGCCAACAGGAGCTGCAAAAGCTGAGCACCTCACAGGCCCAGGCCCAGAGCTAGCAGGAGGCACACCCAAACCCCTTTACCGTTACCGTGTACGTCAATTGCACCTTTCAATGGGGGAGTCCAGAGTCTCCCGGCTGTGGAAGTCAGCCCCCAGCAGAGCCAAGGGGCAGCATCCCCTTGTGCCGAGGGGTGAATCGAGGCACGAGTGGGTACGTGACTCTTCCAGTGTCCGTGTCTCAGTGTCGAGGGCGGGCACAGAACCCGTCCTGGCTCCCTGCTCCCTCTGCCAGAGCAGCACAGACTGGCCCTTCCCCCGAGGGAGGCCACTCCAGGAGCGCAGGTCAGAAAAGAGCAGTCCCATTGGCCTTAGCAAGACTGGTCACAAGCCAAGGCGCTTTGCTGGAGCGGCACCAGGCCTCGTTAGGGACCAACCAGACGACCCAGCAAGGTGTTTATCCACCCTCCCATTTGCTTCTCCGGCTTTTTCATGCCGTGCTTCAGTGGACACCTGCACCTTGCATCACAACCGGCACGACTAGGGCCAGCTCGGTGGGTAGTGCCATTCCCAGCAGCTTCTCCCTGCACAGCCTCCGGCACATGCAGAGCACGACTCTCCCCTGCCTCACAGGGCAGCCACCTGATCGCGCCTGCCATTGGCCTGGGTCCCTCCATGTGGTCCCAGGGCCAGGACTTGAAGGTTAGCTAGGATCAAAGCCATGTGCGGGTCACGTCCCAGCTCCGTCAGCGATCGCTTCTCCATTCGGCAGCTTTTGGTACAATGCAAGGGTCAAAATCAAGGCCAAGTCCATGAGTACTAGCCCACAGCTATGGGCGATCCCCTCTCAGCACGGCTGAGGCGGGAGGGCTGGGAACAAGGTGGGGGCCAGCTGGGTTCTTTTCTACCCCCAGAACCAGGCAGGCCAGCACTAAATTGGGCCATCGGCAACAGCGTCCGTGGAGCTGACCTGGCCGACGTTTGACTGAGGCCACACTAAGAGCCAAATATTTCGGCGAGTCAGTGGAGCGGGGAGATCAGGGAACGTGATGAAGCCCTGGAGGAGTCTGATCTCAGGAACTTCCTTTCTCAGACAGCTCTCCTGGCCAGGAATGCTCACACCGCATCCTGCTCCCTCTCTGGTCCCTTTAGGGCTCCACACAGCTAAGCAGCTTCAGGTGCTGAGGACACCCCAGTGCAGGGGACGACCACCAGGCCAGTCTTCGTGCAGCTCCCTGACCAGGAAACACGGCCTCAGGGAACTGGTGGGTGTTCAGACACTGGCCATGAGCCATGACTAGCTAGCAGTCACACTACGTGACTAGAGAAACAGGACTGTTTCTCCCCGGTGCACTCCATACCTCAACACCACCCGTGGAGTCCCAGGCAACCCTGGCCATCCGGACCTGCTGAGCCCGTGTTCTGTCCACACGAGGATACCCTTAGTGTGCAGGGAGCTAGTCCCAAAATATGTTGCACATCAGAGTCTCTAATGCCCCTTCTCCAGGGACAGCGACCAAGGGGGTGACCCACACCCGGGCAGGCATTGAACAAACATCGCCAGCCACTGACTAGCCCGGGAAGAGCAAACAAGGCGTCAGGCCAGTGACAGTTGCACACGACACATCGCGGGGACTGCTCACCCTGGACTAGAGTCTCCCAGACCCATGGACTGAGGCTCTAACAGAAGGGACAGGGGCATCCTGCTTTGGCCTTTCTCCTTCCCACCAGGGCTGGAAGCAACCAGGGTGCAGGAAGTACAAAGATTTCAACAGCAGACACTGGTCCTGGGCTTGCAAGAAGCCTGGGTGTTGGCATCCAGCGGGGTGAGATCCAAATACTATTGAGGGTAATACGGGGTAAGACTGAAACCGAGCTCTCTTCTTACACCTGCCACTTCGAATCACTCGCCATCGCTCTTCCCGAAGTTAACAAATCTGTTTCCTGCTTTACCCAATGCTGGCTTTCGCCGACGAGCAAATCCCAGCTCGGCTTGCAAAGGCTGGGGCACTGGCGGAGGGGCAGACGAGGTAATACGTTCCTCTGGTCAGGCTTCTGGGACGAGACAGGACCACTCGGGGGCACAAGGCTGGGGCACTGGGAGGACCTGGCTGGTGCTTCTCTGACTCCTGCGTGGCTCTGGGAGCATTCGTGCAGCCTGGGGTGCTGCGGAGACCCCTGCTCTTGTGCGGAGTGATGACAGTGCCCAGAGGGGCTTGCTGCTTGTCACTAGCAAACCCTGGGAGAGCCCCACCCCAGGCTGGAGAGTTCATTCCCACGAGGCACCCGGGGCTCCTTGCGCCCACCCACATCAGCTCTCTGGGTAAATGAGGCTTTAGCTAAACCCTGCGTGTGTTATGTAACCACTCTGGCAATCAGACCAGATGCAGGAGCCCGCAGACAGCACGCTAGCATCTACCACGCTCTGTGCCGGTATCAGCGTGGCTTTTTCACAACTTCCCATAAACATGGTAAGGGAGAGGGATTCAGAGTCCACTTAATTTATTTGGTCACCTTTTTATCTAGCGTTTTAATACAGAAGTTGCCAAATAAAAATGTACAGAAGAAAAATCTTAATAAAAATAAAGTGAATATAATTTATTCTTGTATCTTGCATACAATATTTTACATTATTCCCCACCTGTTCTTTTAAATCACCTTTTCTTTCATTGGGATAGTTACGTAAACATAATTACCACCACCACACTGGATAGCCTAGAAATGTTCACTTGTATTGTTCTACACATCTTATCACACACACACACACACACACACACACACACACACACACACACACACAACTGATGATTACAAGTCAAGAACAGCTGCCAATTCCAAGAAGTTGTCACGTGCTTCTTCTAGAGCCTGGTATGTAAATATCACAGAGGAGTTGTCTCACAGCTGGTATTGTTGCTGTGGATATGGGTTCCACTTTCAAGTCTCTTTTCACCTTTTTTTCTTTTTTTTTTTAAGTGGTTTGTCACTGTGAAAATTATTATGTCACATTCCAGGGACAAACGTTTCTGGGTATGATTCTTTAAATAAAGCCTCCCCCTCAAAAAAACATGAATTAAAAGCATGGACGCCAGAGTTTAATCATTAAGGTGATGGGCACTATTTTACATTATACAGCTCAAAATGAGTTGATTAAAAAAAGTTTAGCAAGGGAACCATCCGTGCACTTCAACTGTGATCATTTGCAAAGACGACCAAAATGACTTTCACCGGGCTCCGTATTTAACTCTGAAAAACTGGTTGAGCAACAACCACATTGCAATAATATGAGGATTTTCACTGTCACACTCCATGTGCATATTCTATTTCTCACATGACACGCGTGATATTCTCATTTGCTCCTCTGAGAATTAATTAATCCATACACAAGCCAACCCCCCTTCTGCCAATCAGCATTCAGGTGTAAAGCAGCAAAGCAAACCTGTGATGACGACATGTAGCATGTCAGAGTGTGACAGTGGGCAGGGAAAACAACTGTACATCCTCGGACTCTGATAGGCCACGACTGTTCAATTTCATTGTAAGTTCAAGTAACTGACATAAATGGGAATTGATGTTTCCAATCTGGAGAAAATAGATCCCTGGAGGCCTTACCTCAGAACTGCAGCTTCACTGGTCTATGCTCCTAGTGTACTCTCTACGTCTGCACGCTTGCTTTCCGTTTCACAGGACTGGCCTACCCCGAACTCCCTGCCTCAGCTGCCAGGGAAGTGTCCTCTAGCAAGCAGCTCTCACTGCCTGGCGTCCGAGGAGTCCCCTCCGCAGCTACCTCGCTGGGGTCTCTCAATATTTGCCCTTCCTCATTTCTCGCTCAGCACGTTCTCAGCGTGAGCCTCTCCTGTCCCCTCTGAGTTCCTCTCCCATTTACCCATTTTCCCTTTTCGTTCCGCCAATCGCTAGTTCTCTAGGATCTCGCCTTCGGACTGCGCAGAGCCCTCTGCTCCCTGAGCTAAACGCCATCTGCTCCATGGTGCTGCCTGGCAGAAGGCCCTGCCCAGAGCAGCAGGTGAACATGCCCTCAAAATGTAGCAATGAGACCACGAGAGAGCCAGGACCCCGGCACTCCCTTGGCCCTCGCCCTTCGCAGGGTTACTGCTCTGCCTGCTTCCGTGTGCCAGTGGCCTGCTCCTGCCCCCGTGCAGATCAGTAAGGGCTCGACACTCTGTACTGGCTTTTCACCAGTTGAAGCAGCTTGTGCTTGAAGGTGAGGAAGATGACGGCCAGGGCAACTAGCAGGGTCAGGCAGGCCGGCAGAGTGAGCACCAGGTATAACAGGGCCATGTTCACGGTCTTCCACCTGCACCTCTGGAGGATAGAGGCGGGCAGTCGCTCGGCACCAATAAGGGTGGAGGAGGAGTTGCAGGTGACCTGCCCCCTGTCCACCACGTTCACGGTCCGGAGCTGGTGAAGGAAGTCCCACCACTCCAGCGTGCAGCAGTCAAAGGGGTTCTGGCTGAGGTAGAGCACGCTCAGACACCGCCCAAGCTGCTTCTGCAATGCGTGCAGCGGAAGAGAGGGAAGGCGGTTTCCCCGCAGGTCCAGGGTCTGCAGGCTCAGACCACTCAAGGACTCCGGGAAGCTGGTCAGGGAGTTGTCCGACAGGTCCAAACTCAGCAAATTCTGAAAGCCAGAGAAGTCGATGTCTTCCCCACTGGGAGGCAGGCCGGTGTTCCTGAGAGATAAAACCTGCAGCATTAGTGCAATGGCTCGGAGAGGCTGGGGGCCCCTGGCCAGGGCTCCCTGGTTGTTGGACAGATCCAGGTGCGTTAGTGGGGTCCCACTGAAAGCCCTGCTGGGCACCACTTCCAGGCCACACCCAGCCAAGTCAAGTCTCCGGAGGGATGCTATGTTGCGCAAGTCCATGCAGACAGGATCCTCGGCCCCATCCGCACTAGCTTGCTGGGGACAGAGCTGTAGGGGGTTGTGACTGAGGTCAACTGTAGTGATCCACGTGTGGGCGAAAGTGTGGGGCGGCACGCTCCGCAGCCTGTTGGCACTCAGATTTAACGCGCGCAGGCTCGGCAGGGGGCCTAGACCCAGCTGCAGGTCCCCCAGCCGATTGTGGCTGAGATCGAGGTCCGTGAGCTCGCCCAGGGGCTCTCTGTCCTGGATGTGAAGGGTCTCTAAGCAGTTCTGGTTAAGCTTCAGGTGGGAGAGGGAAGTCATCCTGCCCAGGAAGCCAGCGGGGAGGTACCACAGCTGGTTCTGGCTCATATCCAGGAAGCTCAAGGAGGAGAGATTGCTCGAGCTGACTTCCTCCCAGAGACTGAGGGTTGTGATGTTCGTGGTGTTGCCCTCGGTGACGAGAAACTGCACCGTGACGTCCAGGAGGGCCGTAGCATTGGGCAGGTGGCGGTAGAAGCTCACCTCATTGTCCCTCAGCAGCAAGGTGTGCAGCTTGCTCTGCCGGGGCAGCAGCGGGAAGAAGAGGAGCTTGTTGTGGGAGAGATCCAGCGTCTCCAGCTCGAAGACAGCCTCGCCCTCTGCAGACAGGAACCACTCCAGGACATTGTTGCTGGCGTTCAGCGTCTTCAGCTGGGTCAGGCCAAACTCCACGATGCAGGGGATGTAATTGTAGGCCAGGTTCAGCCTCTGCAGGCCCAGCAAGCCTTCAAAGGTGCCTCCCTCGATATCATAGATATAGTTTTTCTCCAGGTTCAGCTCCTGCAGCTGGCCCAGGTGTTCGAAGACAGAGGAGTCCAAGCGCATTATGAGGTTCCTGGCCACCGACAAGGACTCCAAAGAGGACAGGTTGCGGAGCATGGCAGCCACCATGTCCTCAGTCAGATGGTTCCCAGACAGGTCCAGCTTCCTCAAGGCTGGTAAGGAGCCAAGAGCAGCCGCCGTCACAGCGTAGTTTGTACCGAGGGCGTTGTCTGCCAAGGAGAGATTTCGGAGGTCTCTGCTGCTAAGGAAGGCCCCGGGCTCAATGAGCTCCAGCCTGTTTTCACGCAGGCTCAGCGTCTCCAGGTGGGGGTACTGCAGCAGCGAGGCGTTGGTAAGGGTCCGGATAGTGTTGTGATCCAGGGAGAGCGCCTGTGTGTCAGCTGGTAGGTCTGCTGGGACGGTGCCTTGCCATCTCCCCGTGCAATCCACAGCCCTGTGCACCTGCAGCAAGACAGACAGACACAGATCCGTGGAATAGACAAACAGCAAAACGGGGGGCGAGGGCTTCGCGTTCAATGGGCCGCTGGGGGAAGAGGGTAACTGCCCTCCAAAAAAACACCTTAGAAACCCACATGGTCCTGTAGCGCCTTAGAGACTGAAAAACCACATACTGTATCATGAGCTTTCGTGGGCAGAGCCCAAAGACAGACGAGATCAGACCAGCTGACTCTGACGTTACAGCGGGGTCCCCGGCCACCTTCGGCGCTCTGCCGAGACGCGCTGGAAAGCAGAGTCCTTCTATGGGAGTAAGCCAGGGCAGGACACCACCCTGCTCCAGGATTCGGATGGGCACGCCCTGGCTCGCTGCCAGCCCTGCTGGACTAGCACCAGCCATCCGGCTCTGGGAGGCTGCGTCGCTCACTAGCGCCCTGCACGGTTCCATGGACCAGCTCCCACTGTGGAGGAGGATTGAGCACTTGCGGGGGGGAGGGGCGGTAGCATTGAGCAGACGAGAAAGGATCGCCAAGGACACAGCAAGCCAGGGACCCAAGAGGAAAGCCAGGGGATCCTTCCCCCAACGAGCCGAGAACAGCCAGTCGAGAAGAAAGGGGGATTTGAAATGCTGCAGGGAAGGGGCTCGGGGATACAGGAGGAGATGGGGAAATTGAGGGTGCCAAGCACAAAAGGGAGCAAGGTTGATCTTGTGGTTAAGACACTGGCCTGGGACTCAAATTCTGGGTGCAGCTCCCCAGAGTCTGAGAGAGCTTGGGTAAGACACAATGTCCCGGTGCCTCAGCCCCTCGTCTGTATCCATGATCAGCAGCACTTCCTCTCCTGGCTTCTCTCCGGAGACTCTGAAAACTTGGGGAAGGGGTGTCCCTTAGCACCACTTCCAGCACCAGGGGTCCCTGCCGGGTCCCGTCACGCAGTGCAGCAAAGCGAGGAACAAACAGGGCGAGAGGAGGAAAGAACAAAAGAGGAACTGGAGAACCACCACCCCCATTTCTAATCAGTGCCTCCATCGGGCGGAAGCTGCCTACAGCAGCAGGGAAGGGCTGAAATCACCTCGCATGGCCCAAAGGAGAAGGCTACGCCAGGGCAAAAAGAAGGCAGGGGAAGCTTTGCATGTCAGGCCAGAGCTCCCAAGGGCAGAGCACCTACAGGAGGGGCCGGAGTTCCAGGCTCAGGTGTCTCTACCTAAGTGGCCAGACACTGGCCAGTACGTTGGATGCCACAGGGCTCCAGTGCACATCTGGCCCCATCTGCAGGTGTCGTCAGGGCACTTGAGATCTCTCCCTTAGCTCCTGGGGCACCTTCCTCAGCTTCCCATAGAGCCTGGTCTGCAAACAAGCCGCATTTCCAGACAGGGAGCTGCAGTGAGTCTCAGGATCCTAGAACCCCAGAACTGGAAGAGCCCGTGAGTCATCAGTCCAGTCCCCTGCCCTCACGGCAGGACCGAGCACCGTCTAGATCATCCCTGATAGATGTCCCTCTAACCTGCTCTTGATTATCTCCAGAGTTGGGGATTCCACAGCCCCCCAGGCAATTGATTCCAGTGTTTAACCACCCTGACAGGCAGGACGTTTTTCCTACTGTCCAACCTAAACCTCCCTGGCTGCAGTTTAAGCCCATTGCTTCTTGTTCTGTCCTCAGAGGCCAAGGAGAACAATTTGTCTCCCTCCTCCTTGTGACACCCTTTGAGACAGGGCCTGTCCTTACAATTCATGGGGCCCTATGTGAAGTTTCTGCAGGCTGGCTGCCCCCCCCCCCCACACCATCTACCAGGGCTTGGAGCTTCCCTTATGACCCCCAGGGCTCCCTCCTGTGCGTGGCTTCAGAGACTGGGGCTTCTCTCTGCCCCCAGTGTGGTCGGAAGGAGCCCTCAGCGCAGTAGCTGGCAAGCTGATCCAGCTCGCGGGCGGGAGGGAGGTGGGGGCAGGGTGAACGCAGCCTTGCTGCTGGTGGCCCAGAGAGCAGCCGGGGTTGGGGAGGGTGTGGGCCAGAGAGGAGCCAGCGGTGGGTGCTCAGAGCCATCCCTTGGCTCACAAGCACACGCGGCTACGTAGGCGCACCCAAACATTTGAGGCACCACATTTCCGCCCCCCCTCCTCCCCCCAGCCCTACATTTGGGGCACCACATTTCCCCCCCCCCTCGCCCCCCCAGCTGTGTATGGCTAAGGACAGCTCTGCTTTTAGATACTTGAAAGCTGCTACTGTGTCCGCTCTCGGCCTTCTCTTTTCCAGACTCCACGAGCCCAACGTCCAGTCTTCCCTCACAGGCCGTGGCTTCTTTCCGCATTCTCGTTGCTCTTCTCTGGACCCTCTCCAGTTTCTCCACATCTTTCCCCCCCCTCGCCCCCCCAGCTGTGTATGGCTAAGGACAGCTCTGCTTTTAGATACTTGAAAGCTGCTACTGTGTCCGCTCTCGGCCTTCTCTTTTCCAGACTCCACGAGCCCAACGTCCAGTCTTCCCTCACAGGCCGTGGCTTCTTTCCGCATTCTCGTTGCTCTTCTCTGGACCCTCTCCAGTTTCTCCACATCTTTCCTGCAATGCGGTGCCCAGACCCGGACACAGCACTCCAGCTGAGCCTGCCCAGCACAGAGTGGAGCGGAGGAACGCCGTCTCGTGCCTTGCCGCCACACACAATCAGGTTGCTGCTTCTGCAACAGCCTCTCACTGACCCATATGTAGCTTGGGGTCCACTCTGACCCCCAGAGCCCGTGGCTCAGCACCTCTGAAAATCAGGCCCAAGGTGCCAGATGTTACCCACAGACTGAGGCAGCTGTGGGGCCACTCTGGAGAGAGCGCACACGAACTCCCCCACCCCCTGCTCCTGACCTCCCCCGCCTCACTTCCACATTGCTCTTCATTTCTAAGACACGGCGAAGCGCGCCGTTCCCGTGGCGATATGGATCTGGACACCGCCCACGCTCCCGGGGACCCCTGCCTCGTCCCTGCACCCCGCGCGCCCTGCCGCCTCCAGACTGGCCACACAGCAGCGGCTCTGGGCAGGGGCCCCGCCGGGGGGCTGGCG